GACAGTGTTTTGTGTTTTCAAGTGAAACGTTTATGCGTATGTCTGCTCATTTTATTAAAACTCACCACAATTAGAAAAAGTGTAGTAGTGGTAGGGATGTGATCGGAATGCAGGAAGTTGAAAACAATTAGTGTGCTGTTGAGAAATGAATTTAAAAAACATACAAACTGAGTGTTTGCAGCATCTTTAAAAAGTGTTTCAGTTTACTTACTTTTCATTTAAACATTGATAGAGTTTAGTATTTTAAATCATGACTTTTTTCCCAAAGAGGTATATTTTTAGGTTTTTAAATTATAATTCTTTTTGACAAAATGATCAAAAATATTCACACAAGCTTGTGTGGATATGTGGATACGAACCCTAAACACCGTTCTCAACTTGTAAAAACATATGGGCACATCCTTTAGCACTCACTATAGTGAGCCACAACTTTTCTGCTATTTCAACAAATCATGCATCAAAACGTTCAGCTCTTTCAGGACAATTCTGCTATGACTTTTGGTATTGGCGCAACTTTAGCTTTTTGAAATATTTAGCCTTTTCTGCCACTTTTTTCCTCATAGAAAATGAATTGAGCTCATTTTACATCCTTTTAGTCGTGTTGACAACTTTTTACTGCTCTTTTCACATTTTGTTCTGGTTCAGCTTCTTTCAGCTTCCTTGTGCAAATTTAAAGAAAATGCAGCTACTTTCATCTAATTTCAGCAGTTTTTCAGCTGTTTTGTGCTCATTTCAGCTTTATTTTGCTAACTACAACATTTTTGTGCTTCTTCTAACTTCTTTCTACTAATTTCAGCTTGTTGTGCTCCTTTCTGCTTATTTCTGCTTGTTGTGCTCCTTTCTGCTTATTTCTGCTTGTTTCAGCTGTTTTGCTATTTCAGCTACTATGTAGCTGTTTTCATGCAAATATAGTAGGTTGACATTTTCAGCCTATTCTACATTTGTTGTACTGATTTAAACTTTTTTCAGCATAATTCAGCAAAAATGTGCTCTCTCCACTCCCTTCTGCTAATTTAAGCTTCTTTCTGCTATTTTAGCTACTGTTCAGCTGTTTTTTTGTTGCTAATTTCTGCTTTTTTCAGATTTGTTTTGTGCTCATTTCTCTTCTTTAAGCATAATTGGACAAACGTGTGCTTATTCTGCTTCCTTCTGCTAATTTAAGCTTCTTTAGCTACTATTCAGTTATTTTTGGGAAGTTTCTGATTTTTCAGATAATTTCTACTTTTTGTGCTCGTTTCTGCTTATTCCAGCCTAATTAGGCACAATCGTGCTCTTTCTTCTGGTAATTTAAGCTTATTTCTGTTATCTTAGCTACTTTTCAGCTTGCTAATTTCAGCCTAAATTCCTAATTACTGTGCTCATTTCTGCTTATTTATATCTTATTCAGCAAATATGTGTTCTTTCTGCTTTATTCTGCTAACTTTGGCTTGCTCTTCCATTTCAGCTACATTTCAGCATGTTTCTGATTTTCTGCAAATTCTTCTGAGATGCATTCACACTGCATTTTCGCAGGATTTTTTTCTTTGTTTGTTTAATTTTATTAAAAGGGTAAAACCAACAAAAGCACAGAGAAATATTTTAAATTTTTATATCAAACAAAGTAAACTGGAGCTGACTTTGTGACAAAAACCAGTGGTCCATCAGTACTCAACTTTAATTAAAACCTATAAAATTCCACCTTTCGTACAATAACGTGGGATTTATTTTATTTTTTTTTTAGTTTTAATAATAATCTCTAACTTTTAAGCCTGTTCTGGCTTTAAAGTTTTCCTCAAAGTTACAAAGAAACCAAACTCTAAATCGTTGGTTACGTACTGTAACCCCAGATTCTATGAATATAAGCGTAGCCCTTTAAGGCCTTCGCTTTAGTGGGTTTATCCCGTTATGCAGAGCATAAGCACTGAAAAAAATTAGTCCACGCCCACCTGCTGTGTGGGCCCCACCCGGTCCGTATAAATTACGTTAAGAGCGGGAAATCGGCTCCCAAAATAGCTTTTTTCTTCAGCCATTTAGGAGCCAGTGAGGCCCGACGCTTAAAGGGCTACGCTTATATTCATAGAATCTGGGGTTACAGTACGTAACCAACGTTCTATGTCATATAAGCTTCGCCCTTTAAGGCCTTCGCTTTAGTGGGTAAAGGGCGAAGCCGATGTGGTCCTCGCCTCACTGGGTCCATTCGAACACAGTAAGAAGCGGAAGCTTGCCCAAAAAACGTCTTGTCACTCAGATCCCCATGTGCATAAACTACGCATCGCGTAATTATGTGCCATGCACA